TGTGTGTGTGTGTGTGTGTGTGTGTGTGTGTGTGTGTGTGTGTGTGTTGAATTGGCTATGCATCTGGCTGTGAACTTCTGGTCTTCTTGCATCTTATATCCAACATGCTGGGACTTCAGGCATAAGTTACCATGTATTATGGCCATGTCTGGTTCACATGGTGCTGAACTTCCAACCCAGGACTCAGTGCTGCTACTGATTGGCATCCTCAACGCCTGGCTGTTCTCTGGACACAGGTTTTTAGTCAGGCTGCCCTTGAACTCAAGATCCTGGCATTGTCGGTGTGCATCACCCTGTTCAGCTTGACAGAGTTTTCCTCTTTCCTTGTTCAGACATTTCCGCCCTGTTGGGAGACAGCCGATTTGGGCGTGTGTGTGTGTGTGTGTGTGTGTGTGTGTGTGTGTGTGTGTTTTCTAAAACTTGAGGTCTGCTGAGGAACAAGGGTCTGAAGAGGAGTGTGACGGGAGCTGCCGGCTCCTCCATAACCTGCAGTTTTGCAATGGGAAGGAATGTCTGTGGCATGCCAGGCATCCGGGTCTTCTGTGTCCACCCACAAAGAGCATGTGACCTTCCACTAAGCTGTGACCGGGAAGTGGAGGTAGCAGTGTGATGATACACATCTCCATTCTACTAGCCTGGGGATGTAGGGAGTGTCCGGCCTGACCTCTTCTTGGAAGCTTCCTGCACTGTGGGGGCAGGGAGGTGTCTTTTTCCATGCTTGTATCTACCTGGCTTTCCAGGTGGCTTTCTTAGAGCAGCAGGAGATTTGGGTTCCTTAATTGCTGCTGGGCCAGAGACCTGAGTGTGGAACTGGGTTTGTGTTCCTCAAAAGCACTTCCTAGAGGACAATTGGTGATTTCTGTTTCCTGCCTGCCTGGGTAGGAGGTACACACTTAACTTTCTTTCAAGCCTGGCTCTGCCTTTCTTTTGCTGTGGGACACTGAGCAAGCTCCTTGCCTCAGGATTCTGTGTTGCTAGATTTGGGATTAAAGTTGCTCTGGGACAAGGCGGGTCAGGTATGTAGAACAACCAGTACCTCATCTCCCTCCCCTCCTCAGGAAGCAGCAGTTGGTAGCTCTGGGTTTCCAGACCATCCACGTGGGAGATTGGTCAGCTTTTCAGTGGCTACATCTGTACTAGCCTAGCCTCTGCTGCTGGTCCATGTGGAATGGAGCGTGCATATCTTGAATGTCCGGAAAGCCAGGCAGCCTGCTTACCTCTTGCTAAAGCCTTCTTGAGTCCTTCTAGGTTCTCCTGTTTGAGGTGGTTCGCATGCTGCTCCCCCATAGCCAGCTTCTTGAGCCTCATAAGTAGGTGCTAAATTTTCTGGTGTGGTTTCACATGGTTCAGAACTCTGTCTCACCGAGTCTCATTTGGACAGATTCCGTGAGCAGCTGGGACTACCGTTCCCTTGCCTGGCGTCTGCCTCTTGGCTGCATTGTGCTCCCTGTGTGACTAGCACATAATAGGTAGGCAGGTAGCCGGGTGGTGGTGGCGCACGCCTTTAATCCCAGCACTTGGGAGGCAGAGGCAGTCGGATTTCTGAGTTCAAGGCCAGCCTGGTCTACAGAGTGAGTTCCAGGACAGCCAGGGCCACACAGAGAAACCCTGTCTCGAAAAACCATAAAAAAAAAAATAGGTAGGCAGGTATAATGGTGAATGAATCATCTCATCGACCCTGTCTTCTTGCGTGTGTGACCTTTATGATCTTTACTTAGAGTCTTTGCAGGACGTTTATACCATCACTTTTTAAAAAATTTTTTCTATTGATTTATATGAATACACTGTAGCTGTCTTCAGACACACCAGAGGAGGGCATCAGTTTGCATTACAGATGGTTATGAGCCACCATGTGATTGCTGGGAATTGAACTCAGGACCTCTGGAAGTGCAGTCAGTGCTCTTAACCGCTGAGCCATCTCTCCAGCCCCTATACCATCACTTCTTTCCCCTCAACTCTCTGCTGTCTCCTTCCAGTCCTCTTTCTCCCAAGAATAGAATGTGTAACTGGGCATGGAGGGACCTGCTTCTAATCTCAGCACGGGGCCAAACACAGGACCAGACTAGGCTCCTTAAAGTTCAAGGCCAGCTTGGGCTGCATAGCAAGATCCCATGTCAAAACAAAGCAAAGCGTAGTTTATAGAAGGTATCTGCTTCTTGGTTCTCCTAGCTCTTTTGCTCACCTTTGCCCTCTATTGGAGGGAATGGGTCATATGACTGTGTGGCAGTGTTTCTAAGGGCAGTCAGCGGGCTTGGTGAATCCCAGGACCTGGAGTATATTTTCTGATGGATCTCCTGACTGGGAATGATACCTGAGCTTCTGCCTGGCACTGCCAGCCTTCCTGACTGCTGAGGGACTCCCAGCTCAGAGCAAGGTTTACTTGTTGAGGCAGATGGAAGTTGGCACTAAAAGCCATCTCTGTTAAAAATGGCGTATGGACCCTTAAAGTTGACATTTGTTTTCTGTTGGCATCACTTTATGTTGTTCTTCAAGTATGAGATAGTGTTGAATGAGAATTATTTTTAATTTCAAATCAATCTGACTTTAGTCCTCTCCAGCAGTGGTGAATGGCGCCTGATTCCGAGCGATGGCTAACTCCTTAGAACATCGCTGCTGTGCAAGTGTTGCTGTCCTTAGCTGTTTGTTCGCCTGGTATAGTTTTGTTTTATCACAGGTTTCTCTGTATCCCTAGCTGTCCTGGACCTTGATGTGTAGACCAGGCTGGCCTGGCCACACATTCACCAAGATTCACCTGCCTCTCCTCAGACTGTTGGCATTATAGGGTTACGAAGCCATGCCCAGCCGATTAACCAATTTCAAAGTTATTATTTTGTGAATAGATCAGCTAGACACCGTCTTTCTTATCCTCTCCTTCCCATTTACCACTCTCAGGACAGTGCGTTGAGCACATGCCAGGCCATGGCTACCCCATCTAGTTAGTTTGTTGGATGCTAGAGTGGCGTCTCTTGTATAAATGTCTCAAGATACACCCTGTTCTCACTTCCTCAGATCCTTAACCAAAGTGAAAAATGTGTCCACAGTTACCTCTATCAGATGTAGGAACCACAAATCCCCAGTGCCAGTATTAAAGGATGTGGAGAGATATTTATATGTATATAATTAACATATATATATATATATATATATATTCAAACATCACTTGTATTTGTATATTTTTGTAGAATTTGGGGTATACCAGAGACTCCTAGGTAGTCTCGATGATGGGATGATGGTGTGAGCGCCGTCATGACTGGTGCATTTGGACAAGGATGGTTCTGAGTACTTTCCCCCCCCTCCTGCCTCAGCCCATGCTTGGTCTGTTTGGATTTCCTTCCGTGTTGCTTCTGAAGGAAGCAGACAAGTGTTGTGCAGTTTGAAACTTTCTTTTTTTCTTTTGGTTTTTCGAGACAGGGCTTCTCTGTGTAGCCCTGGCTATCCTGGAACTCACTCTGTAGACCAGGCTGGCCTCAGACTCAGATTGAAACTTTCTAATCACCTTATAAAAACAGGTGAAATGGGAGAGATGGCCTTGTGGTTAGGAGCTCTGGCTGCTCTTACAGGGGACTTAGGTTCAATTTCCAGCACTCACGTGATGGCTGTCATTCTGGCCTCTGAGTATCAGACGTGCATGTGGTACACAAATACTTGCAAGCAGAACACCCATACATATAAGCAAATATGGCTCATGCAAACAGTAAGTGAAATTAATAAATGCCTTTCCTTAGCTTAGTAAATCTAGACTGTTTCAGCATGTGATAAGCACAAGTGAGGTGTCTGCATTGTTTTCATTGGGCTGTCTGAGTATGCACTAACACTGGTGCATCTCCACCTGGCTGCGTGCGTCCTGAGTATGTAGTCCTGTGTGTGGCTACATCACTAGTCACACAGGGGGATTTGACGACCTGGAGTGCGGGTTCCTCAGCTCTGTTTACTGAGACCACAGCCTCCCTCCTTCAGCTTCTTTCTTGTTTTGTTTTGAGACAGGGTTTCTTTGTGTAGATCTAGCTGTTGTTGAACTAGCTTTGTAGACCACATTGGCCTGGAACTCAGAGAGATCTGCCTGCCTCTGCCTCCCGAGAATGATGGGGTTAAAGGCATGTGCCACTGAGATCGCCTCCCTTCTCCTCAGCTGTTTTAGTTCCTGGGCAGGGATGAGAAAGAGACCATCTACCTTGCTTGGTGTCTTAGGTCAGTTTGTTTGCTCAGGAACATTACTAGTAAGTGGTTATCAATCAGCATTCTGCTCATACAGTCTTGTAGCGGGCTCTAAGCAGTGAAAGGCTTGCCTCTGTGAACCTAGCACAGAGGGTACTTTGGCTGCACATGGTGATATCACCTTTAATCCCAGGACTGGAGGCAGAGGAAGCAGCAGAACTCTGAGTTCAAGGCAAGCCTGGTCTACATAGGGAGTTCCAGGGCAGCTGGACACACACCCCCCCTCTCTCAAAAAAGGCAGTGAGTAGGTGGGGGACACACTTACTTAAATATGGGGCAAAGCCTTTAATCATTGGTCCTAAAGCTGGGCTGGGGGTGAGGGAGTTTCTGTGTGTGTAAGGAACATTAAGGAATAAATCAAGCAATAAATGAAGACCTTGTCTTTATCTTTTCATTTAGTGGAATAGAAGATGAACTCAACTGAATTCAGTGAAGATGTAGAAGAAGGTAAAAACAAAAAGTTTTCAATTGAACATTTTTGAATAGGTTATACATTCATACAGTCCCAAATTTAAAAAGTATCTAATAAAAAGTCTTCCTGCCCCTGTTGGCAGCCCCTCTATCTACAGGCCTGTTTCCAGTTGCCTTTTAAAAGTACAGAAAGGCAGTATTTAGGGGTGGGGGGCGTGTAGTTCAGTTTAGAGTCCTTGGCTCTGGGTTGGTTGGTTAGATCTTTCACACATTTATTACCCACTTATTCCCCCCCCAAAGGACATACTGAATTTTAAATTCACATACTGAATTGACACGTGATCGGACTGTACCGCATTGGCAGGCAGTAGGGAGATCCTGTTGCTGGAAGTGCCGGTCAGCGACGTCCTTACTGACAATGATAGAGGGTAGTCCCCACACAGCTATCACTAGAACCCTGCCGCCCTCCCAGCGGCCCTGGCTTTCCCTACTGAGCCCCCCATTTCTTCTCTGCCATAGTTCTAAAAAATAACCCTGTGAAGGTAGAGAGCGGCGATGCTGCGCTGGACTGCTCCCGGAACTCCAGGGCCTCTGAGAAGCACCCTCTGGACAGCGTCCTCACTGCCCTCCACGATTCCAGCAAGCGGAAGCAGCTGGGCAGCGACGGCCAGCCAGACTCTGTCCCCAGTGTGAAGAGGAGGCGGTTGATACCCGAGGTGAGGGCCTTACTCCCTCTGGTCCTAGGTGAATCTCTGCACTTGTGAGCATCTATCTGGCCAGGCGTTGATTCTTGGGTCTAAGAGAAGGGTTTCACTTATGCTGTCTCACAGCTAGCTTCCCTTTTTAGAAGGTAGTCAGCTGAAATACTGTGTCCTTAGCACTGAGAGCAGAGCCTTCACAATACAAGCATTTTGAGTTCTTTGTTTTTTTGCTGCCTTTTGGGATGTGGGGAGTTTTTTGTTAATGGCAAAACGTGTTAACAGTTGCCTACCATGGCTGTCTGGGCAAGGCTGATCCTGGGCAAGCTGGGGCAGTGGATCTTTTCCTAGATTAAGACCATCATTTATAAATACAAAGGGATTGCTCCTAAGAAACTCTCAAGTGACTCTCCTTTCTTCCACAGTTTCTTTCTCTCTCTTTTGAGACAGGGTCTCTAGCCCTGGTTATCTTCACACTTACAGAGATTCATTTGCCTCTTAGGACTGCTAAGTTCAAGGACTGTGTCACAGTGCCTTGGCTGTCTGTGTCTTTACTTAGTCCTAGAGATCAGCCTTTGTGCTGGGCGTGCTTTACCACCGAGCCACACCCCAGGTCTTTGTGTACTTATTTTATTTGAGACAGTCTCCTCAAGTTGCCTACTCTGGGCTTTAACTTATTTTATAGCCCAACAGACCTGGAACTTGTCACTCTCCCGCCTCAGCCTCCCGAGTGGCTGGCATTACAGGGCTGTGTCACTTGGTTCACTTTGCTACATTTCCTCCTTCCTCCTTCTTGGCAGAATTTTGCCACTTTAGCTGGCCTGGACACTCCTTACAGACCAGGCTGGCTTCAGACTTGGAGAGCACTTCTTGCTTCTGCCTGCTTTGTTGGAATTTATACTACTGCACCCAGCTGTGCCATTTTGTAAACTCGGGAGCCTCCAACTCCTGACTCAGACCCAGGGTCCCCCCAGCCCTTTCATCCTGTCTCTCCTGGTTCTTAGTCCACTGTGACCTTGGTACAGGGTCTCTTTCCGCCATACCTCTGATTCTCTGTGAACCCACACCTCTAAGGTGTGAGCAGGACACCCTTAATTCTTTCCCAAAGCCCTCCAGCCTTTTCTCCTGGCCCGTCTCTATTCATCTCTGCCACCCACTGACTTGCAAAGTACCTTCTACTACCTGATGAAGTCTGCCAAACACAAAGAAATAGAATCACTAGGAAAACCCAAACTCGGGTTCAGCGGTTAAGAGCACTCACTGTTCTTCCAGAGATCCTGAGTTCAATTCCCAGCAACCACAAGGTGGCTCACAACCATCTGTAATGGGATCTGATGCCCTCTTCTGGTGTGTGTGAAGAGAGTAGTAGTGTACTCATATACATAAAATAAATAAATACATTTCTTAGGGGGAGGAAAAAAACCAAACTAGGATATAACTGGAAATGAAAACCTTAGGACACCAAAGACCTCAGCAACAAGCCCAGCCGCAGAGGCATGGAAGGTTCCTGCTGTATTGAACTTGACTAAGGGCTGAGAGAATGGACAGAGGCATATCTGCTTCTCACAGCCTGCAGGTAAAATGTACTCCATAAAGTACCAGGCACTGAGGAGTGAGGCTGAGGTGGGTATCTAGCCTAGGATGGAGTCTCCTATGGTCCTGCAAACACTTTACATTCTAGAAAAACATTTTCCCAGACTCCCATACCTAGCTCCAGATCTTCTGCCTTTAGCCCCACCCCCTTGCCATCTTGCTCTTTGGTTTTGGAAGAGCCAGATATACATTCTAACCTGTATGTGCTCACAACCTGGAGTTTTTCATCCTCGGAGCACCAGGGATTCATCTCTTTCCACTTCACCTTCCCCCTGAGACAGGGTCTCATGCTGCTTGGGTCAGCCCCGAACACTGTGAAACAAAAGATGAAACTTCTGTCTCTGGAGTGCTGGTCCATAGGTGTGCACCAGCATGGCTGGTTTATCAGTCCTGGGATATCGGTGTACTGAGCTACATGCCCAGCTGTGAAGAGACACCATAACCAAGGCAGCTCCTGTGAAAGGAGGCGTTAAGTTGGGAGCTGGCCTCAGTTTGCAGACCATTATCATCATAATAGTAAGGTGTATGGATCCAAATGGCAGTCACTGGAGCAATAGCTGAGAGCCGTAGCCTGCTCTGTGGTGGTGGCGGTGGTGGCGGTGGTGGTGAGGGAGCTGGCACCAGCTTTTTAAATCTCAAAGCCTACCCCTTATCCCCCCAGCAACACACTTCCTCTAACAAGGACACACTTCCTAATCTTTGAATCCTGCCACTCTCAGGTGACTGGTATATGAACTATGTCTGGGAGCCATTCCTATTCAGACGACCACGTCAGCCCTTAGTAACTTCTTTTTTTTTTTTTTTTTTTTTTTTTTTTTTTTTTTTTTGGTTTTTCGAGACAGGGTTTCTCTGTATAGCCCTGGCTGTCCTGGAACTCACTCTGTAGACCGGGCTGGCCTCGAACTCAGAAATCCGCCTGCCTCTGCCTCCCAAGTGCTGGGATTAAAGGCGTGCGCCACCACCGCCCGGCCCTTAGTAACTTCTTATAGTACTCTTTATATAGATGAGTCTCATTACGTTTATACCTAAGCCTTTCTTTTCCATTTACTCGTGTGTGTGTGTGTGTGTGCGTGTGTGTGTGTGTGTGCCCGCGTGCCCTGATGGTCATGGAGAGGGGGAGAGGACAACTTGGAAGGGGTTGTTCCTCTTTTTCCACCAAGTTCTGGGAATGGGATTTAAATCATTAGTCTTTAAGGCAGGCACCTTTACATTTTATTGATTATAGTTTATATGTATCAGTTTTTTGCCAGCGTGTGTGTCTGTATGTTTTCTGCTCTAGGGGGCCAGAAGGGGGCACTGGATCTCTTGGAACTGGAGTTCCAGAAACCAAAGCTTGGTTCTCGGGAAGAACTGCCAGTGAATTGTTCTTAACCGTTGAGCCATCTCCCCAGTACATGAAAACATTTTAACTGCTTCCTGTATCTTCAGTTATCTTTCCTTGTTTTATTACGTTAGTACGGTGTTGAACAGAACGAGGAGAGGAGACATTGTGTTTTCTTCCAAATGATATTAGAAGGTTTCTCACTGTAGACTATCAGGCTAGTAAGCAGAGGCAGGAGAATCATAGGGCAGCCTGGGGTACACAGAGCAGTGTCTTCATATTATAAAGGGCAGCCTGGGGTACACAGCCGTGTCTTCATATTATGAAGGGCAGTCTGGGGTACACAGACCCCCACAACCCTGACCCAGGACCTCATGTGATCCCGTCCAGACCGGCTCATTTAGCACTGTAGCTTAAGCAGCCAAGAACAACCCTGACCTTGAGTCCTGGCTTTCCTGCCCCTACGTCCAGAATGCTGGGTTATAGGCTTACACCTAGACAAGTGTTTATAGAATGTACCTCTGCATTCATCTGGGCCAATCGGCTATAGTTGTAGAAGACTACTAATTACTGATTCATTTTCCTATTATGTTCAGCTACATTCAGATGGTCTGTTTCTTTTTTTTTTTAATTTTTTTTTTCTTTTTTTTGGTTTTTCGAGACAGGGTTTCTCTGTGTAGCCCTGGCTGTCCTGGAACTCACTCTGTAGACCAGGCTGGCCTCGAACTCAGAAATCCGACTGCCTCTGCCTCCCAAGTGCTGGGATCAAAGGCGTGTGCCACCACCGCCCGGCGGTCTGTTTCTTGTATATATTAATTTTAACATATTGTGTCTTAAGGAATTGATCCATTTATTCTGTTATTGGATTGTCTCCTCCCAAACTATAACTATAGCACAGTATTCCTTTATCATCCTTTCAATGGCCGTGAGATCTTTAGTGATGGCTTTCTGTTTTTTAATTTTTGGTCTCATATCATTCAGGCTGGTCTCTAATAACTCACTATTCACGAAGATTGACATTGAACTCCTGACTCTACTGATGTTACCTTTCAAGTGCTAGATCATAGGTGTGTGCCAACATGCCCAGCCTTAGATCTGTCTTTTGTAATGTATACTTTCAGAGATGCATATTTCTATACTTTCTTCAAATTGATAAGTTGTATTTTCATTTAGTTCAAAATATTTTTAATTTCCCTTTGTGATTTCTTTTTTGATCCCTATGTTATCTTTGGCCTTTGTGTTATTAACTTTGAATATTTATTTCCAGCATTGAAGACTGATCATAGCCCCTCATACATATTAAGGAAGCACTCTACTGCTGATGTGCACCCCTAGCCTCAGTCTGGTTCATTGAGTCACATGATAGTTTTTGTTTGTTTGTTTGTTTATTTTTTGTTTTTTGTTTTTTGTTTTTTTTTTTCCTGACAGGGTTTCTCTGAGTAGCCCTGGCTGTCCTGGAACTCACTCTGTAGACCAGGCTAGCCTCGAACTCTAGAACTCAGAAATCTGCCTGCCTCTACCTCCCAAGTGCTGGGATTAAAGGCGTGCGCCACCACCACCCGGCCACTTGATAGTTTTAATTATCAACTTGATGATCTATAATCACCTGGGCAGGTCGTCTCAAGGAGAGATCTTCTAGATTAAGTTGGGCCTGTGGGAATGTCTGTGGGATGTATCTTAGTTATGTTAATTGCTGTGGGAAGAACTGCCCACTGTGAGTGGCACCATTCTCTAGGCAGCAATAGATACCAAACTGTATAAGTGGAGCTAAGACTTCAGGCGTGTATTCATTGCTCTCTGTCCTTCATTATGGACGTGATATGACCAGCTTCCTCCAGCTCTTGACTTCTGTGCTGTGATAAACTATCACCTGGAACTGTGAGTTTAAAAACAAACCACAAAGAATCTTTCCGCTAAATTGTAAAAGGTTACTTTGGCAATTTCTCTCTCTCTCTTGTTACATTTAGGTAATATGTTACCACTGTTGCCAGTTTTCTCTCAGCTAGCTAGTGGGCAAGCCTCTGAGCAAGGCAGCTTCCCATATTGCCTTAGCAGTGCTGTGATTATGGAGAAGACTGTTCAGCTTTTCTGTGGGTTCCAGCAG